ATATATATATATATATATATATATATATATATATATATATTATCTTTAAGGAATGTCTAATATTTGACCAGGAAACGAACGGTGTCTACTTGACCCTAGCTAATAGCATTTGGAATTCAACCACTATACATAACTTTTACCTTTATGTTATAATAAAATGGGTAACAAAGATACTATGGTAGATTAAGTGAAATCTTAGTAATTAGAAGAGAGTGTGATAATTGCTAGTATAGTGTATAAGATTTTAGAAGTGAAGGAAAGAGGTTGAATTCATGTGAAAGCTTTAAAGAGGGGACGGTTGAATCACACATACTTGTCCTCGGCTCCTCGCCCAAACTATTTATTAAAAGGGAGGTTGAGATCTAAAACTAGGCTCTCTATTTATTAGGGATTTTTTCACCTCATACTATATATGTTCAACAGATATAATAAATAAGCTGTCATCTGGTTTCAAGGACACATAACACAACTTTCACAATCAACACAGTAGTTACTTATTCCATGGCAGAGCATTTCGATTTTCGAATGCCAAATCTTAGCAATTCTCCATCTTCTAGTTTCTTTTCCCAATAAAATATATTTCTTTGTACCCTTGAATTTATTTCTATAATTCTATCATCCAGATTTTGTGTTTTCTTCAATTGAATCAATCACATTGAAAATATTGTCAGGTTACTAAGTTAGTGGTGTTGGTTGACCCGTGTGAATGGCAAGAAAAATAGAACTACGCTAATGCATTCTTTCGTATAGTTTGGGAATGTACATGAATGTTTGTTGGCCACTAATAAAAAAGAAATTCTGCCACTTTGTGGTAGCATAATGCTTTGTAAATTATAGTTCTATAGTTTTCCAATTCCTGAAGAGACATGTCTAAAGTTGACCAATACTTACATTATAATTATATATAGCGGTGGTTTAGTTCCAATCCCTTCCCCTCGCCCCTATGTAAGCGTTATTGCTGACTTCTGCTCATAGAATTGGCACAAAATTAAGTTGGTGAATGTGTGGTTATATTATAAAATCACCATTCCAAGTTAAAAAGGGTTTATGTTAATTTAAGATTTTAGTGTAACGTTAAAGGATAAGTCTTCTGTTGATAGATTAAAAACAAATTAATAAAAAGGATAAAAGAGTTATAAGTTTAAATTATTAAAAACATTTTTATACAAATAAAATACGAAAGCGGAAAGATTGTGGATGTAAGGTTTGCCTCTCCATAAAATCTTCTCTGTACGCGCATGGTACGAGAATTTAATATCTATTAGCATATTTAATTCACATTTTTTTTTCCTTTTTTATAAGTAAAACACTGAATTTTTTTTTTATAAAATTATTGATATTTTATATTGAAATAGAAAATATTCAATTAGTTAAAAAAATTATTATTGAGTCGTGTCATATGAATGAAAAAATAAAGTTTATTTTCACTAAAAATTTAGGTATTGATCCATTTTAAATTTATACTTTGTAATATTTTTGAAATATTGTGTAAAGATTGAGAATAATTAATAACAGATTATTCTATTAGCATATTTAAAGAACTCAATTATCTACCAATTATGTTAAAAATTGTTAGTTAATCATGGTAATAGTTAAAACAAACTTAATTATATTTTTAGTCATCCTATTTTCTCATATTTGAAAATTTTGTTTCCTATGATGATGGTGGAGGTAAATGTGTAAGTAAACCTAAGCGTACCTTCATTCAAGTGCGATTTCTTGAGTTGGTGGAGGTGCTTACACAGATTTGTTGGCATATTCGAAGACGAAAATATTGATTACCTAAATAAAAAGGTTTAGTTCTTGTATTGTGGAATTAAATTTACGAGGAGATAGAGATCACCGTCCATATAACTAAGTGCTGGTATAACCAAAAATGAAATGCAAAAAAAGCTTTGGTATAACCAATTATGTTTTATGGAATATACTAATCTTTATTAGGACATGTATTTAGTATTGTTTGATGGTATTGCTGTAAGCTAATATTTGATCTGACGGTCTCCATCAACCAATCAAATGTACTCCAATTAATGAAGATATTGGGAGTTGGAATCTCTTATCCAGAGCGTCACCCATGTCATATAGAAATTCAAAGAGATCCACCCTTTTTTTTTTTTTCCAATTTATTATAACAGTATTATTTAATATGCTTGTACATTAGTCCATGTGACAATGGGTCCTAAAATAATAGCTTAGTTGTACAGAAAAACAACACTTAGCAAACTCGAGAATGAGGTTTGTAGGGGTCCCCATAACATTATTTCTTATCAAATAAAGCGATGAAGCTTTTAGAGAGAAACATGCCAGAGAATAATTGTAGCATCATGAATTAAAAGAGGAATGATAACTATATTACACGATTGTTGGTGAATCGAGAAGTACTTTTGGTAGTGATTACACCCTATAGATGCCTTCTACTTGAGGAGAAAAACCCTCGTTAATTATATTGAATAATTGTCTTTATTCAAGCTCTTGTTTCAGTCTGATCATTTTGCTTGAATATTACACATTGTATAGTTGTCCCATTCCTATGATAATTTTTTGGGTGGTGGGAATTGAATTTGCACATATATATTGTTGGAAAGTCTCCTTTTAGTTTCCAGCTACAAGCTTTGATGACGATTGATTTTATTCCATACAACATATATGTTGAAACTTAATATTCTTATTGTGTGATTCCAACATCACTATGAAATGCATGTGGATATAATTTAATTTCTCTAGTGTCTTTGAAATCTCATTTTTAGTAGTAAACTGTAGAAACTGATCCTTGAGCTGGAATATTGGATTTCGATCTCGAGCAAAATAGTTGGAAGTGAACTGTTATGTCTCCCAACCACATTTGTTGGCCTTAGCAATATGCGCCATGGATGCACATGCTACTTTCAACTCTATGATTGTTTAATTTCCCAACTCGTGTTTCAACTTTCAAGAATAGTTTAATTTCAATTCATAATATATTAAAAAATGGTTTAACTCTCTAAAGTGTAAGCTTCAATTATTATTAAGATTTTGTGGCCAACACTCATTCACTAAATGTTTTCTATTCCCTTTTTCCTTTTCGTTTCTATATATATATATTGGTATCTCCCACGTTAGAAATTAAAGGCATACAACCTTTTTATAAAATCAGCATCCCAGACAAACATCTAACATGCAAGCTATTCTTCCGACCATAATATTGCTAACATGTTATTTTTTAAAAAAAATTCATTATCAGTTTACTATTTAATAATAAGTCAATTTACATGAGTCAAGAAAGTGAGAGATTTAATTAATAGAATAAAACGACAAGTTATATTTACTGATTGAAAAATCATATAGTTTGGTTAGTGAATAAAAAAATTCAAGTATATATAATAAATTATATTTTTTTTCTAAAAATAATAATTATTATTATTTTTAATCAAGTGTTATAATTCTTTTACTTTACTTTCTTGAATAAAACCTCATTTTAGAGAAATTTGATCTTACATATTTATTTATTATTACTATTATTTTGGATCTCCTGCCATTAAATTTAATTGGATACACGTACTCTTCTTAGTTTTTTCCTCTATTTTTTTTAAGTTTCGTGTTAGATTATTTATTTGGAGGGTTTCTATCAATCATTTATTTAAAATAAAGTTTTAGAATTCTTAAGTATATTAGTTTTAGATATAATTAATTTAATTATTATAAATTTTAACTAATTAATATATATTCTGTTCCGGTATGCCTAAAAGTCTCACATCACTTAGGAGTCGAGGCTAAGGGTAGTTTATAAACACCCTTTCTCCTTAACCCACCGAGATATCTTTTAAAGGACAAAATCGTGACGGCCCAACGAGTCAAAGCGGACAATACCTCAAATGCGATGACCCTAACAATGACAGCGGTAGGAACATATTCTAATTTTTTTTAGTCATAGTATTGGTAGTAATAGTTCTTAGATTATCTCTTTAAAGTTTGGCGAATTGCAGGTTTCTTTATGATAGCCAATATTACATTTATTAAGATTAATTATATAAAACAAGAAAAAGCAACATGATATACCTGGGGAATATGTTTGGTTTAATAAAGTGAATAGATAGAAAAGGGAAGCAGAGTATAAATTGGTATGAGAATTTAATTTTTTAATTTCAAATTATATGATATTGTTTTCGTATAGAAATATATATTTTTCCTTTAAAATATTATTTAGAATTAAAATATTATATTTATTTTTAAAATATTTTTTAAAAAAAATTATGATGTTAGGTTAATAAATAAATGTAGGTCTTGATTGTAGAGATAATTGTCTAACGTCCATAATTAAAAAGGACTCATTTTATTTTTAAAACTATATAATTGTATTATAATTTTAATATTAGTTTATATTATTTTTAAGGATTAATTAAAATTATCAATATATTTTTTATATTTAAAATATAAAGTAATAAAATTATAATGTCTTGTTGTATTTATTGTTAATCTTTTATGTATTATATTTATAAAGTAAATTATATTTTTGATCCTCTAAATTTTTAAATTTGATTCTAGTTTCCCAAATTATTTTTGTCCTTTTAATTTGGAGATGTGTTACTTTCGAACTTTAAAGTTGTTTATATAATATTTTATAATAAATTTGCATAAAATCAAATTGAATAAAAATATATTAGTATATTTATTTTAGATTTTTTAACATTGTTATTTTTTTAATGTATGTATTCGATTAAAATTTTAATACATTGTTTGGTCTATGAAGTTTTTGAAAATTCTTATTAAGTCTCTAAACTAAAAAAAAAAATTGTAATCAAGTCATTCATGTTTTTTATATATATAATTTAGTTGTTAAAACTATATATCTGTTTGCATTTTGTGAAATATGACGTTTTTTTTATATCTTTATATATGTAGACTCATCTCAAATTATCATCATATATAATTGTACATGTCTAATGAATTTTAATTTACCTATAAAAATTTTCATAGTCTCTTTAATCATAATAATTATAGAATAGTAGGAAATTTTAACTAGTGGAATTTAAAACCTAATACAAGTAAATGATGATATTGAATGATAATATAATATAATTTTTTGAGTACAAAGAAATAAAAAGTATTATATCAGATTAAATATCATAGATTATAAACTAATATCTAATAATAGGGACTAAATTATAAAAATATGAAATGTCAAATTATATTTTTTTAAAAATTTAAGAGACCTAATTAAAAAAAAATCTCAAAATAATCCATAAAGCAAAAAATATATTAAGCCTCAATTAAATCATGTATTTATTTTTATATTATAAATATTTACATTTCAAATATTATTGTTTATATATAAGGGTTTAAATGAGCAAGGAGATTATATAAAGAAGAGTTTCTAAGTTTCGACAGAAAAGTTATAAAAGAGAGTTTACAAGTTCCATCAAATAACTTGTGAGAGAAGGATTTTCATGTTTAACTCATAAAATTTGTGAGAAAAAAGTTTTCAAATTTCACCTATAAAACTTGCGATGATGAATTTTCAAGTTTAACCCATAAAACTTAAAGTGAAAATTTTTAGGATATATATAATATATTTTGAGATATATAATGAATATTTTTGTGAATGTAGACATGAAAAGTCAAATCACGTTAAATAAAATTTATGTGATTTTCTTCCTATTTCTTTATGCTATTAACTTCTTTATATTCTTTCATCTTTATGTATAAATTTTTTTTCTCCTAACAAATAATCAGAATCAGAAAATTGAATGAAACTATTTTTCAAATAATAGTTACTTTGTAAGTAAGACGGGGAATTAGGGAGAGCAGCGTAGAAAAAGTATGGTAGGGATAGTTTAGAAGGGTTTATGTAAAAATTTGGCGAACTTTACCCAAAAAATAAAAATAAAAAATCCTGACGAATTAACTAGATTTGTGTGAAATTTATTTTTTAAAACATTATATTCATTCATAAATATGTTACTACCCATATTCGTGTTCATACATAATCGAATGTGAGTATATACATATAACACATCATAATTGAATTTGTTCTATTTTTTTTTTCTTCTATTTCTTATTTAATCAATTTCATTCATATCTTTCCATTTCCTTCAATTCCTTCTCTACTAAGCAAAGGGTTATGGTCACAGATCTAGAGGAAGAATATATTAAGATAATGAAATGAACAAGAGTACGGGTAGAATTGAATGAAATAAAATATATCATTATTCTTTATTGTTTAAACCCATTCTATAATAAAAAATTAAAATTTCAAAAGTGAAATGAATTTATTCAGTAGAAATGGAACGGATATTCCTTCCCGATAAAAGTGTCTATTTCTTTTATTTTCTTTTTGAAAGAGTTTATATTCAACTAAAAAGGTTTTTATATGATTTTTAAAATTATTATTATTATAAAAATCAACTAATGATTTGTGATTAAATAATAATAAAAAATTATTATAGTATATACCACCGTTGCTATCTATAATATCTAATTACTTAATTCATCAAAATTAAAAAATTAGTTAATTTAATTGATAATAATAACTTTATCTTATTTATATTATAGTGTATACTTATATATCTTCTAACCAATTAGAATTTATGTCTTAGAATGCATTGACATATCTCTCATAATTAATATTCATCTTTCTTCTAATTCATTAAGGTGCATATTTTTTAAAGAATTTATAATTAATATAATTTACAAGTTAAGAGAACATACTTTAATTAAAGATATTTTAGTCTAAAAATGATTAATGAGACAATATAAATTATATCAGCAATAGAAGAATAACTACTGCAAGTTTAGTCTTATAAATAAGAATATAGGTAATAATTTTGTTTTTTTACACCATCGGTGCATAGCATATTTTATTTTTTAGAAAACTCAGAACTAAACTCGGAAATGACTTTATCTTTCTAATGCATTCCAATAATTTCTTCCCACCAAATAGTTGTTGAGATGTGTTGAAAACTGAGCAGAAATCGTATTCTCAGAATATCAAGCACGACGAGCTTTAGCTTTATAATAATAATTTGGCCATGATGCGATGAAACTTTAGTCAATATAGACGACTCTGCAATTCGCATCCTTCAACTTTCTGCTCTCTTTTGCCAAGATTTGACATCTTGTTCTTGCTTGTAATAAAACAAATAAATAAATAAGGTGCCCAGCAAATCAGAAAAAGAGATTCCAGTTAGGAAAAGAAATGGGAGACAATGTCATCTGTCTCACAACTTTCTAGTGTGGATTACAAGTTACAACCACTAGTGAAATTCTAATGCACACACATATTCACTAAGATAAGAAGGTGATGGTTCAGAGAGCGGTACCATATGTTGGATTATACTTATTCAGAAGATAAGAAGCTAATTCTTATGAGATAAATAACACGTGATCTAATTTATTAGCACTTTATTTTACTGATTACAGGTGCACAATATTTCAGCAAGAGAATGTGAAAGGAATCAACGTGTAAAATATGGCCATTTGACTGCAACAAAATTGATCTGATATTTTCCCAATTTACAATAGAATGAGGTGAATCCATAACTATGAACCTATTTGGATACAAGTTTAAAAATACTTTTGAGAATTTTTCTACCAAAAAATACTATTTATTTTCAATAGAAAAACTCTAAAAAAAAATACTTTTAACTTGTATCTAAACAAGTTCTATGAACGAATATCACCACACTTGGCAGTTGGTCCAGTAAGATTACATGTAAGTTTCCACATTGGGAAATTTAAAACAAGCAAAAGTGAAAAACATGTCATCATGTTTATTCCCATGCTCTTGGAGGCTATTAAATTCCTCTATATATTGGAGTCGCACCATTCTTCCAAAGCCTAACAAACAACAAAGTACCAAGTTAAAAAACAAAATCAATGATGTTGACACATTGCAATGAATTATGCAAGCCAGTTTCTATTATGATTCTAGTTAACTTGGCTCTGGCTTTTGTCAATTTACTTCTGAAGAAGGTTCTTAATGAAGGAGTGGACTACATGTCCATTATAACATATAGACAGGCAATTTCATTTATCTTCATGGCACCTGTGGCCTGCTTCTTTGACAGGTAAGAACCAATTTCATTTATTATAACATTGTTTGATATATAGCCAACCCTATTTAGTTGGGGGAATGGTTGTTGCATTCTTTTTCTCTGCCCCCTTAAATCAACATATACTTTTAGTTAATGTTCTTGCCCTCGTTTGTTGTCTTGTATACAAGTCACCTTTAGTGACTCAGGTTTACTTCTAGAACTACCCAAATTTTACAAATTACTGGACAGAGCAAATTTCTATTTTTTACAGAAAACACAAACTGGAGCTTCACATAATAAGTCTCCTTTTCCTCAGTGCTCTACTCGGGTAAGTAATATTGTAACTAAAGATACGCTTCTGGTTCTGTATTGATGTTGTTTTAATTGTAATATAACTAGTGCTTAGTGGCTAGCAAAATCTCAGAATATCTTGAAACCTAATCCCTCTATACCCAAAATGGCAAAACCTCATATTTCAACAAATTGTAACAGGTATAACTAGTCACTGAGTTTATATTTTAATATTTTATTAATGTTTTTCAGAGTAACATTTCCCCAATACCTATATCTTGTCGGACTTGGATATACTTCTGCCACATTCTCATGTGCGTTCCTCAACATGGTGCCTGTATTTACATTCATTATGGCGGTCCCATTTGGGTAAGTTAAACAAAAGGGTATTACTTGATTGTGGAATACAACACAAATTTTTTGATCCTTTGGCTTGAAATTTTTCTAGGATAGAGAAGGTGAACATACAAAGCAAGAGTGGTAAAGCAAAAGTCATGGGAACTTTTGTCTGCATTGGTGGAGCCATGTTATTGGTCCTTTATAAAGGAATGCCCCTTATCAATCCACAATCACAACACATGGCAAACAAAATAACAAATACACCACCAACTGCCAAGTTAGCGAAATGGATCATAGGTTCCTTACTTTTGACTGTAGGTTGCCTCTTGTGGTCATCATGGTTCATTATACAAGCAAAGATTAGCAAAAAATACCCATGTCAATACTCTAGCACAGCTATTTTGTCACTTTTTGCTGCTACTCAATCAGCAATATTAACTTTGATCATCAAGAGAAATAATGCTTCGTGGATTCTCAGAGGCAAGCTAGAAATAATGAGTGTTATATATGCTGTAAGTATATTCTCTACAATAACATGCGTCATTTAAACCTATTTTGAAATAGTCTGTTTCTTTGCAAATTCCAACTTCAAATCTAAATATTGATAGCATTTCAATTAAAAGATTCAAATTTGTTGTTTATGTGAGCCTAGGGATTGGTAGGGTCAGGATTGTGCTACGTGGCAATGTCATGGTGTGTCAAACAAAGGGGTCCAGTTTTCACCGCAGCTTTTACCCCCCTTATACAAATATTTGTAGCTGTGCTTGATTTCTATGTACTAAAGGAGGAAATTTACCTGGGAAGGTTGATTTCTTTAATCACTCTTTAATGATTTCCACCCTTTCTGCATTCCACTGCACCTAATGTATCTCCATCTGCAATAAGCAGTATTGCAGGATCTGCCTTGGTTATTGCTGGCATGTATATTCTTCTATGGGGAAAAAGTAAAGAGGAAGGGCAACATGTTCTGAAGGATACGCAAACAAATCAAGATGTAGAATGCCAATAGCAATGCCACAAATGACAATGATCCAAATGTGTACTCTAATCATTGCAAGACACAAGTTCTCTAAATAACAAAAAGGAAGTAATGTGCTATTTATAGGAACCAAAAGCTGATAAGTTCTATACAAAATAAGTAATGTGCTATTTAGCCTAAGGATAAATATTTTGTCAATTATTCGAGTCAATAATAGACTTTAACCTAAACATCAACCATTGCATGCTTAATCTTGAAGTTTTATCTCAACATATATACTATATGGATTTGTACATGCGAAGTACAAGAATTCCAACTTCACATGGAGAAATGGAACAGCATCCACTCATCAATATCTGGAATATTAAAGAATTCGTGCTTGCACCATCTTAAATAAAGGGGGGAAGGAATATGTTTCACCAGAATAATGGTCAAATGTTGAAGAAAATAATTTCACTTTCAATGAATCAATCAATCTAAAAATTAAACCTATTAATAAAAAAAAATATCAGCAACAAGAATACTGGACATCAAGTAAGAACCTGGAACATCAGCAAGCAAAAAATCTGAACCTGGAACATCAAGTTCATTTCAGATAACAAGAATACTTGATATATTTCACTGTGACCACTGTATCCAATTCCAATAAAGATCGAATTGATTAACTCATGTCATATTGGTCACTTATCATTTTAATTTTAGCTGACGATATATCTGCAACAGGAACAAAAGATAAAAATACATTGCAATAAAAGAAGCAGTACATCTAACTATTTGGGAGTGCAAATTTTTTTCCCACTCATTAACTGGTAGTTACAGTTCAAAAATTTACATTTAACGAGTTGTAACCTTCATATTGCCTGAATTTTTTTCTTTTTTTTTTTTGAAGAAAAAAATTATGGTGAGAGAATGGTGCCTCAATTTTAAGGCAGGAAAAATCTCTGAACTCCAAAAACACATAACTAAAAGTTTTGCTAAACCCATAACTAAAAGGACTTCTGATCTGATAAATGACTTTGAGCTCCAGATGATAATTCTTCCAAAAATAATATTGGTACAAACTTTTAACACCATCTACTCAAAAGAGATGCAAGTCATCTTCCATTGATGTATCATTCAATGATCTTTCATGATTGTCTTTGAGACAGCTAAATTTCATTTGATAGACAACAAAATTTAGCATAGAATAAGTTTCCTCTGAGTCATAATGTGATTTATCGTGAGCAATAAATCTATGAAGGATTCCAGCTATTTCAACAAAACTAAACCCAGGTGATTTTTTCACCCCTCTTTTCTCCATAGCTTCTCTCATGCTTCTTGCATCATCCCAGCGTTTGTCAACCGCATAAACATTTGATAAGCCAATATATCTACCATCATGATTTGGTTCTAACTCGATAAGCTTCCTGCCAACTATTTCTGCAAGAGCTAAATTTCTATGGTTAATACAGCCACTAAGAAGAGCACCTAACATGGAAGCTGTTGGCTCTATGGGCATTTGGCAAATAAATTGGTATGCAGTGGTTAATTGACCTGCACGTGCCAGCACATCTACCATGCAAGCACAGTGTTCGCTTGTAGGTGTCATGCCACATTTACTAAGACTCTCAAAGAAATACCAAGCTTCTTTAACTAACCCTCCATGGGCACAGGCAGCCAACAAGCACAAGTATGTGACCTCATCAGGCACAACACCAGCTATTTGCATTTCCCTAAACAATTTAAGGGATTCTTCAACTAAACCATGCATTGCAAGACCTCCGATCATTGCATTCCAAATCAACACATCGGATTGACTCTTAGAGACACCACGGAATACAAGCAAAGCCTCCTCTATTGCCCCACATTTGGCATACATGTCCACAAGAGAAGTCTGCAAGACCAATGTCAATGGCAATCCACTGTCAACTATGTACTTGTGTATCATTCTCCCCTTCTCTAAAGCACCCAGGTGTGCACAGGCACATGAGACACTCACCATGGTGACTTCATTGGCTTTGGGCCCAACAGCCCGCATCTTTTCAAAGATAGCCATAGCTTCCCCACATTCCCCAGCCTTAACATAACCGTCAATCAAAGAGCTCCATGACCGAACATCCTTCTCTGGCATGGACTCAAAAACTTTCTGAGCCATAGCCATTTCTTCACACTTAGCATAGCCATCCAACATGGAATTCCATGAAACCAAATTTTTCCCCTGTATACTATCAAATACCCTTTGAGCCCACACAATATTCCCACAAGAAGCATACATGTGGATCAAAGAATTCTGGATAAATCTATCAGACTCATGCCCAGTTCTTTATATTTTATTACATGATTTGGAAAATATAAATTGATTCCTAACCAGGAGGCACTGCCACCTTTACTGGAGTTAATTTATATTTCCTTTATTATTATTTGTATATATATGATTTCTTGTTTTTCACTAAATTGTATTGAAAATCTTAACTTCTTTTCTTTTATAATTCTTTTACACTGTAGTTATGATTTATGAGTTACGAATGTGAATCTTCTACCTTGTGATATTTGAAATATTTGTCAACTATGAAAGATTTTATTTACCCAAAAAGAATAAAAGAAATATTTTATTGTTACATTTGTTGTATATTAATAATGGGGTAGAGGGTGTCACAAAAAAAACTCGTATCCATAAATAAAATCTACTATATATAATAAATAATAGGTAATGAATACGAGTGTTTCTCTACCCATTTATAAATAAAACAGAGACGGGTACGATAGTATCCATACATGTATGTACTAGGTACCTGCTAAATAAAATTACTTAAATATTCATATTTTAACTTATATTTTTATATTATTTTTAATATTTAAAAAATTGTCATTAATTGTAAGTAAAAAGATTTAATGACAAGTGTTTATCTTTATTATTTCAATATAATTAACATCAAATACAAGTTTAAAGTTGTTTATAATGCTTTTTTTAATAACTTTTTATATATTTTTTAAATTCATAAATATATATAGATATAGATATAGATATTCACGGATACTTCTATATATTTATAAAATTTGAAGGTATTAGCTTAATGGGATTAGGGTTGGCAATGGGCAGGTTGGGTATGGATTTCATGATACTCATCTCCGTCCCCGCAATTCAAATTCATTCATGTACCCGTACTTGTACTCGTCAGGTATATTATTTTCGTTTCCATCCCCGTCCCCATCGGGTATTGGGTATATCCATAATCGTACTCGTCAATTTTTTTTTGTAAAAAAAATACACAATATTTTTAAATTATTTTTCTATTATATTACAATTATAATTAGGTTGTTTCTCTATCTCATATTTTAATCAAAAGGCTTCTTACTAATTAAATAACTATAAATGTTTCACATTATAATAAACAATCACGTATAATAAAATATTAAAATTCTTTAACAGAATTAAATTAGGTGTGGGTATTAAACCCGACATGGGGACGGGGACAGGTACAGAGCGGATAAGTATATACCCGTACTCGATCAAATTGGGTATTTCCCGTCAAGTCGGAATGAGTTCAGGTATTATCCACGAGTACGGGTTTATTTTTCATTCCTAAATAAGATGGATATAAGATAAATTTTCATCTAACGAAACAGATACGAATATCTTATTATTTGCCTCACTGTCATCCATAACTTCATCAATTTCAATTAATTGAAAATAATATATTAAATAAAATAAACTTAAATATATTTACTTTCAAAGTAAATGAATAGTTCATTTAACGATAAATATCTTAAATAATAAAATGCATATAAATAAGAATATTTTTATCTTTAGCCCCTGTTTGTTTCAGGGGATTTACTGTTCATGACGAACGAAAGGCGAAGAAAAGTGAAGAAACTTCACGTTTATTTCCGCTGATTTGCACCAAAAGAAAAGCGAAGAAAAACGGGAGAACGTCCTCGCGAAGTTGTGAAGAAAAAAGATGAAAGCCACGTAAGAAATGAGAAAACCCGATAATACTCCTGCCCCAAAGACTGGAAAGAGATGAAGAATGGAGGCACATAATTGATTATGCATGGCACATAATCGATTATGGTAGCATATTTTCACAAATATGCGAACTCAGAACGGGTCGTTCCAACACTGGATTTTATGAGCAATATGCGAACTTAGAACGGGCCGTTCCACTTTGGGAACGGACCGTTTCAAACATGGCCGTTGTGAGTTAATTTGTAATTCCAAAACGGGCCATTCTGGTCTGAGAACGGGCCGTTCTGGTCATATTTAATTATTGTTTACTTAATTGATGACTAAATTGTATTTTCTGTTCCATTATACAAATATGTTATTACCCATCTACTTTGTAATGTTAAAAATTTCTTAATTTTTTAATTGGTGAAAATTAACTTGTACAATTAACAAATGTATCTTCATTTCATTCTAATTTATGTCAATGATTTATCAATTTTTTAAATTTATTATTTAACTTTCAAAAATTTTATTATACATTTTTTTTATATTAAGAAAATTCTATTATTTAAATATTGGCATCAAAAAGTGGAAATATAAAAAAATAAAGTAATACATGTTTATAAAATTAAAATAATAACACTTTCATAAACATTAATAAAATAATATTAAAAAATGTAATTATCATAATATATTTTGTTATTGTTATTTATTATTATAAATATTATTATTATTATTTTTATTAATATTATTATTATTTATTATAATTAGTATCATTATTATTTATTATGATTCTTATTATTTTTCTAATATTTATTATTATTATTATCATTATTTATTATTTTTTAATAAATTATACTTATTAATATAATTTTATTGTAATTATTATTATTTTCAATAAATAATATTCTACTCATTTTTAATCAAGGGTAAAAGTGTAAATTACATATTCATCTATTAAATTTTTAATTTTTATCTATCACATCAATCAATTTCTACACAAATTTTCACAAACTTTCCACTCACTTTCCACTATCTTTTCCTTAATTTAAACAACCTCACTTTCCACTCTCTTTCTCTTCAAATCTTTCATTTTTCATTCCCTCAAATCCATCATTCAATCCAAACACAATCTTAGTGTTTAATGGTGAAATATTTACACGATTAACTAATAAAAGTTATTATTTATATTTTTGAGATAATTACTATAAAGTCAATAAATTTATTATTTATGTAAATTATAATTGAATATAAATGTAAAATTATTTTATAGTATAAAACTTATCACCATTAAACTCATATATATAAAATATTATCCCCTTTCTTTAACACCCAAAGTGGACGGTCACGAGAAGACTTGGGTATGGTCCTCCCTTTGTTTCTATCCACCGAATGAAGGAAAGGATTAAAAAATTATATATTTTTCCTTCCCTCCTCAATGCGTTTCCCTATCTTCATGCGAAACATACGAAGCGTTAAATGCATTCTCCACATTTATTAAATTTTCATGCATTTATGATTTGATAGAGTCCCAAATCTGAATACAACTCATAATGAGTTGGTCCTACTGTTCAGTTTTAAATGTTTTGAGTAGAGCTACTGTATTATTATTTTTTAAAACCAAAAACATTAATTTGATATAATGTACGTTTTTTGACGGTAATATAATGTACGTTTTAAAGATTATAAAAAGAAGTAATATCTTAATATTGAAGATAATATTTTTTAGTTATTTTTAGTATTATTTAATTTTGATAAAAATTTATACAAAATAAAACAATGCAATATTTGTTTGGACTATTTTATTTTTCTAATTGATTTTAAACCATTTTTTCCCCACCATTCTTCTCTCCTTTAAATTGTTTTTTCTTCTACTTTTAAATCTTTAACCAATCACTCTTTTTATTATAATTCTTATTTTTTTAAATAAACGACTCTCTTTTTTTAATAGTGATAATTTATTTTTTAACATAAAATATTATATATATATATAATTCACATAATATCTAAAAATTAATAATAAAAAATTAATGTATTTGCAAGATGTAATTTTTCTAGTTAAACAATACTTTAAAGACAAAGAATAGAAATCGAACACGGAAACATAAAAGTCGATAACTAAAAACTGATAAAGTTCATTTAAAAAGGCATAGATATCTTAATATACTTTTTAATATTTAATAATTAGATTGACAATTAATATTTTTCATAAAATTATTAGCGCAAATTAATTTTTTTCTCTTGTATAAGAAATCACTACTACATGATATATCTTTAATAATAATTGTTTTATATAAGAGTAATTATTATTTTGTGTATCTACATGAGTGTGTTTAAAAGTTAATTGAGTTGAACTCAATTAAGAAGAAAAAAAAGCTACAGTTATGAACTCTTATTCTCTCTTTTTTTTTTATTTTTTTTTATTGAAACATATTTTTCTATAATTTTAGATTGATAACCAAACATACATTAATAGTCACTGTAAAAAAATTTAACATGTAATGATATTCATTCTATAATAACATAATACTCATCATTACAAACTAATTTTACCTACTCTATAAATACAATATATATTAATATATTATTAAAAAATATAGATATAAATTATATTGACATATAATATATATTATTGAATTTCATTCAAAATTAACATTAAAATTATATATAATTATATATTAAATAGATTTATACTTATGTATATTATATGTACAGTAACACTTTTTATATGTTATTATATGTAATATTTCTTATAGTAAGTGCTATCATAAAAAAGATTATTATTATTATTATGACATTAAAAATATTTTTATGACATAAAAAAAAGACTGAACATAGTTACACAAGCATTTAAAAAACGTTATTATTTCACATCTCATTTGAGCAATCTTAATATATATCTTCAAAATGATGGTACTTACACGATCATTAATTCTTTTCCTTACTCAATAATTTCATGTCTTTGCTCACTGATACTTAACACCAACTCACGCCTTGAATTCATTAAACAATCACATTTCTCTTGCTTTATATGAACAAATAAGTTTCTAATTGTTTAGAGGATTTTAAGATATTTTACACTTTTTTTGGTGAACTGATATTATTATGATTATTATTAATTTGTCTACCTTCGTTTGTATGACCCTAAAGGAAGACCTTATCTTTGTATAATGTCATAACGATTTGCAGTTTTTTTTTAAAATAATTATCCGTTAAAATTTTGACAACTAAGTTCAAACTTATAATTTTAAGCATATTAACTCAAGTCTCGCCATTAAACTAATTCTATTAATTTCAAATTAAAATTACACTAGAAAATATATATCAAAACACTTAATATTTATTCTTATTGCAACGTGCTAATAAATAATTATTAGCACTTTACAGTTAATAGGATGCAATTGAAACTTCAAAATGACATTGGATAGACAACTACTGATGAGAAATAAAAGATATAAACTTCTAATAGGAAAAAAAAAAAAAAAAAAAAAAAAGCTTAGATGAGACTTGTCCTTAATTTCTTAGCAGGATTGACTTGAAATATGTTGATCAGCATGGGATTTTTGCAGTTTGGGCATTTAGGGTTAACATTGGACACCATCACATAAAATAAACAACGGGTGCATCCCATGACAGTCAATGATGATAACTCATCGCCTGAGGTATGGTCATGATTTTCTTCTTTGCCCAAAATGGGAGGTAGGTATGCTCCACGAGATGATGATGGTGGCAATGGAGTAACTGAAGCTGGAGATTTTAAGGCATTTGGTACATTACCAGACTTTGACCCAGGCAATGATAGTTTCAATTCAAGATCTATGCCCGAATAATTTCCATACTCATTCATCCCAGTCTCGGTCAAGCTTCTTTTCTTGGTTCCATTTGTTGCTGCTTCAACCTTTGAATCAACCAAATACATGAAACAAAGAAAAATATATATATGTCACAAAAATAAAAACATGTTATAACCAAATTCTAATTTATTAAATTGAAAAGCGGAGGGAAAATATTATTTGAAAGTCCATGACCAATGCAAATTTTGTGAAAATGTTTTGAGGGGTCAAAATACTTGAATGCATATACTTCAAATTATTAATATCTAAAAAAAAATATTCATTAAAATAATTGAGAAATAAATTGGGTGGGAGTGAGAGCGGTAGCGGTGGTATCCTAATGTGACAACTCAAATAAATTTTGTCACTATTTACAAGTGTTCAAAAGATTTTAAAATAGTATTGAGAGAGATAATTTTAATACAATTAAGATTTTAAAAGAGACTAATTTTAACAAAAGTCAAATAATGTTGTCATCAATATTATGATAAAAAAATGTTTTAAAAAAAGTTATAATCATAATTATATCAATTAAACTTATCTATAATATTAAGGATCATGGTCGCGACGACGGCGTCAACAATGACGACGGTGTCAACAGCGACGTCAATAACTACGTTTAAAACCTTAGATGTTTGTAATGGTTAAAAATTAAATCTTGAGTATTTGCGATGGTTAAAAACAAATTTTTAAGATGCAACATTCAATATCATTCCATAAAATAGATTAAAATCATAAGAGATATGTATATAAATGGAATTGAGAAGAAATGAATTCACCTCAAAATTAACTCCATGACCTGCAAAAGGATTCATATTAGTTATGCAATTTGATTTGTGTTCGTTGAAAAATTGATGTTAACCGAGAGGTGAAATTGTTTTCGAAAAAAGATGGGTCATAAACACAAGTATTTGTCGAGATATCTACTCTCTCGGTGACTACACCCTAAATCTTATAAAATTTTGGTGGGGATTTTCAGTGATGAAAATCGAAGTGAATGATGGTTAAAAATTTGCAATGACATATATATACTAGAGATGGGTTCGGAACACACCAAGTGCGTGTTCGGTTCCAATTATTAGCTTGTTTTTTGTTTTACTTTGGATTCTCCAAAACCACGTTGAATACCGCTCCATATGATTTTAAGTAACTTTTGTATTGGATATACAAATTTGTACTAAATTTTAGTATTAATTCAAATATAAATCACACCACTTCAAAATAAATTTTAATCAAAATTAATTTTATAAAATCAATTTCATTTAAAATCAATTTTTTCAACGTTCTTCCAAACACAAAAGTAAAATTATTATAAATTTATGTTTATTTTTTTAACTATATTATTAGTAAAAAATATTTTTTAATTTTGTTGATAATAATCTAACCGATTTATTTTAATAAAATTTCTTATTCTAATCACCTTTTTATATAAAAAAAATTGAATTTAAAACTTTATTTTAAAATATTAGATTAAATATTGCTCTTACCAACAACTTATTGATAATCTATATTTATCTAAAAACTAATAATAATAACTTCAATATTTTTATTCAATTTAACATAAAAAGAGAAAGAATGGCGATCACACACCTAATCAACACAAATCTAAGCATACTCTAAACTTGAAAATGAAAAAAAGGTTTATGTTTACTAGAAAAATCAAAACTAAAAATGTGCTAAAGAAAATTCAGAATTCAAGAGTAGCAGTTACCGGTTTCAATAATTTTTTAAATATAAAATATGTTAAAGTATTAAATTTAAGTTTGATATATTATTAGCAGAAAAACTTTTACATATCAATAAATTAAAAATTATCTTAAATTTATTTTACAAAATAAATATTTATAATATATAATAATTAATAATTAAATGGTAATATAAAAATAGTTTATATTATCAATACATTTCAATTGAATTCTAAAATATTCACAAACAAAATCTTAAAATGATTAAAGTGACGATTTATGTAACTTATCATCAATCCTAATGTAAAAACACGATAAATTTTAATCTAAAGAAATTAATTTAGTTTCATGAAAAACGTGAAGCCAAATAAAATTAATGAAATGACATGAAAGGAGAAAAAATCTCGCCTAAGAGTTAAAATGAAATTCAAATTATAATTATCCGTGTTGGGCTAGTAATAAAAATTTAAGTAATAATTATAAGTTCAAACTTTATTATGATAATATTTTTAATATATTACTATAAAATTAAAAAAAATTAAAAAAAATAATAAAAAAAAAGGAAAATTTAAATTTTAAACTAACAAGTTTGCAAGTGGAAACGCCTACGTACATTTTCAAATGCAGTTATATTATTTGATCATCAAATAATTAAGACCGTATTTAATTCATATACAAACATTGTATGCTAGTCATTTATAATATTTTTTTATATCTTTAATTTATTATCAATCTTTTAACATTCATTACTTATTTTTTATAATTGTGAATGCATGCATTTATTGAACTCTAATAGTATTCCTTAATTTAGTGTAGTGTCATTAAATATAACTATTACATTATTTAATTTTAGGGACATCTTTTTTAAACAAATCAAATTCTAACACTGTTAATTAAAATTAACTATAATTTAACGTCTTGAATTATGTGTTTATTTTTTATATATAAAAGGAAGTTAAGTTCGTAATATATTTTAATAATTAGTTAGCTAAGTGATAACTTTATTGACATAAATAAATTCCTGAATCACCGCCACTTTAACAAGAGAAAAAAAAAATCTATTATTTTTATTTCTTATTATTAAGACTTAAATAATTGTATCATTAATATTAAGAAAAAATATTTCTATTTGTTAAAATCAATAAATATAATTTATTTTTTCAAAAACTACTACTAAATTAATGAAATATTTAATTTATGTTTCTAAAGTTTTTGTATTTTAAAAACAAAAAATAAAACTATTTATATTTGAGAGATTAAATAAATTACACTTACTTTTTAACTTAAAAAATATTTTTAATAAAGATACTTTTACAAAGAAAAATTAATGCTCAAGAAACTATAGATTGAGTGTTATAAATAACCAAATCAATTTATACATTTAAGTCTTATATTAAGGATGAAAGGTAGTAATTTATATTGAATATTTTTAGAGTTGTAATATTTTAACATATTTTATTTTAATATGTGGTTCACAATATTTTCTAAAGATTTTGTATTTAATAAAATAAAATAAAACTATTTATATTTGAGATATTAAATGAATTACACTTACTTTTTAACTTAAAAAATTATTTTTAATAAAGATACTTTTGTAAAGAAAAATTAATGCTCAAGAAACAATAGATTGAGTGTTATAAATCACCAAACCAATTTATACATTTAAGTATGATAATACCAATTTATATATTTAAGTCTTATAATAAGGATGAAAGGTAGTAGTTTATATCGAATATTTCTAAAGTTGTTAATATTTTAACATATTTTATTTTAATACGTGGTTCACAATATTTTCTAAAGTTTTTGTATTTTAAGAACAAAAAATAAAACTATTTTATATTTGAGATATTAAATGAATTACACTTACTTTTTAACTTAAAAATATATTTAATAAAGTTACTTTTGTAAAGAAAAATTAATGCTCAAGAAACAATAGATTGAGTGTTATAAATGAACAAACCAATTTATACATTTAAGTCTCATAATAAGAATGACCAATTTATATATTTAAGTCTTATAATAAGGATGAGAGGTAGTGATTTATATCGATTATTTTTTGAGTTGTTAATATTTTAACATATTTTATTTTAATAAGTGGTTCACAATATTTGTTTTTATATTTTGAATTCAATCAATTTTGAATTAATTATCCAGAGATAAATATTTATATGGAATGTTACTTAAAGGAAATGTTCAGTACCTTTATTATTTTAGTATGTGCATTATAAATGATAAATATTATATATAATTAATATTTATAATAAATAAACATTAAATATATGAATTGCAATAAATTTTTAATAAGTACTTATTTGAATATATAAAAATATTAAACCATTTAAAGAAAAGTACAATTAACTAATCATAAATCACCGTCAGTCTCTATGTATTGTAACAAAGAATGGTATAACATCATAAATTCCGATCACTTTTATTTTGTTCTTATAGCTTTTTTTCTCTTGTAAATCATCATTAATATAAATTAATATTTTAGTTTGTGCAATATATAATTTTTAAATATATAATTTATATTTTAGATTTATAATAAATAATTTATGTTTTATCACAATATTATTTTTTATTTATATATAATTATTTAAAAATATTAAAATTTAATTCATAAAAATTATAATAAAATAATAAATCAAATTAGATGTGTAATTAAAAAAACTCTTAAAAGTTCAGTCATTTAAAAAAAAACTTGTAAAAAAGCTTTCACACAAGATAGTCAGGATTTGATTTTAAGGTATTATCCACTTTTTTATATATTAAACATGATTAGCTTTTAAAAGTCCAACAAGAGTATTTTTAGAAAAAATTTTAACCTTTTATATAATATGATTTTATTTATCATATTTATTCATAAATAAATTTAATAATTTAAAAATTATTAATAATTAAAAAATTGTGATGTAGAAAAAGAATATTGTCATAATATAAATTATTTATTGTATATATAATTTACACATTAAAAATATTTATTTATATAAATTTTAAATATATTTTATATATTTAAATATAACATTTATTATAAATTTTAATTATATAATAAATATTTAACTTGTACAACATAAATTAAAATATTAATAATTTTAAAAGTAAAAAAAATACTATAAATAATAGTTTTTATTTAAATAATTATAAAATAAGTTAAATATTAATTATTTTAAAAATCAACAAACTTACTGTAAATAATAATTTGTAATTAAATAATAAAAAAAATCTTTTAAGTGTATACACTATTTTCTTTTATTATAGTATTTTTATACTTATAGTTGATAGTGTAATTTTTTTTACAATAATAATATGTGAAATTAATTAATAATAAAAATATTAAACTTTTATTGTAGAAGAAATATATCCCACTATGGAACATTTCCCGTAACTGATGTCATCATTTCTTGAATATTATTTTTCAAAGGTGATTTAATAATTTATTAAATTTATTTTAAAAATTATGTATTATATTATCATTTAATATTTACTAGTATTTTAGTATGTAGTTTTTACATGTTAAATACCTATTATATATAATTAAAATTTATAATAAATTATATACAAATAAATATTATATTTAAATACATAAATTATATCTATAATTTATATATATTGATATTTTTAAACACATTATTATATTTTAAAATTAAAATAAATAATTTATATTGTGAGAAATTTTTTTAATTATTGATAAATTTATTTAAAATATTAAAATTAATTCATAAATAAATATGATAAATAAAAGACTTTCGTGTAAGATAATCATTTATGTTTAATATATAGAGTTTGAAACCAAAATTTATAATAAATTGTGTATACAGAGAAATATAACATTAAATATATAAATTATATTTATAATTTGTGTAAATAAATATTTTTAAACTTATAAATTTCATTTTAAATTTAATAAATAATTTATATTACAATATAAGATTAATTTTAACCAATATTTTAGTATGTGTAATGCACATGTTAAATGTTTACTATAAATAACTAAAAAATTTAAAATAAATATTAGTACGAGTTATATATAAAATGTAAATAATTTTGTGAAAATATGATAGGTCACTATATTTTACAGTTTAGCAACTAAGTAGTGAAAAATATAAATCTAATAGGAGTACCATGTAAACAAATTTTGAACATATATGCAACAATATATATATATATATAAAGAGATGTACATCTGAAAATATAAATATAAGAGTTAATCACATATACACTGCCAGTATAAAGTTTTTTTACACTGGCAACCAATTATATTTTTTAATTGTGTCATGTCACTGTTAAAAGTAATTGTGTTTACAGTGACATGGCACAATTAAAAGATATAATTGGTTG